TGACACTATTACGATGCCCCCAAGTATTACTTTAAAAATGTTTAATACTCCCTTTTGACATTTGTACCTTGTACATGTTCTAAAAGTGAACTGTTTCCAAAAACAAATGGCATTTGCTTCCTTGGCCTCTAAGGAAAATGTTGATTCCTGTAGATAGTACATATTTTAAAAGTCTTTATGTGATTGCTTAAAACATATTATTGTGGATGACTTTTTCTCTTGATGTAACTTTCCAAAATGAATGTTAAATCATATGAAATTGTTGATGTCTGACCATTTTGACTTAAAGGTGGCAGTTTCGTGTGGTTCCTTCAAATAGATAGTATTGGTAACACATAAGTGAAATGAAAAAGTAAAGATGAAAGTACTAATATACAATGATTGTATGTGTGTACAAAAGATTGTAATTTGATGTTACACAAATAGAATAAAATGTTCATGGAGCCCTTTTTTTCTCTATTGTTTGAATTTACAATGAACAGAGAATTTAAAAAATTGTTTTCTTTTGATCCTCAGTGGTGAAAAATCTCTGTTCTTTAAAAACATATAGCAAATGTAGTGATCCATGGGCTCTTGGAATTTTAACTGTGTATCTTTGTATTATTATCTGTATATCTTCTAAGTATGAACATCCAAAATTTTATTTTTTGACTCTTTTCAATCCACTGTAGAGTTAAAGCGTCCTAGTCATATACATTTCATTTTTAATTTTACCTGAATCTAATGGGGGCTTCCAAAATTAGGCCTAGTAATCCAGTCAGCATTTTAATTGGAACTGTACTTACCAGTATGGTCAACGTTTCTTCCCCCCAATCCACTCAGAACAGTTTGTATCATAAAATCGCTTACATAATGGTTTGCTCTTGATGCTGTCATCTGTGAAATTTTTATCTGAGGTGAATTTCCATAAATAAGTTAATTCTAAAAATCAGAATGCAAAAGTGATAAATTATGAATATACTTTTAAAAATATTCAAACAAGATACTCATACAAAAAAATCATATTCTTACTTACTATCATTAACTTTATATCATTGTATGGTGCCAGATTATAGTGAGATGGAGCTTATAATACTATTTCACATTTTTATTCACTAAATAAAAAACCTGCCCTGTGTTTTATTACAAAGTAGGTGGCCTGAAGGAAAAATATATGTATTCTTTCCTTTTGGTATAAAATATGCATTTGGGCTTCTCATTTCATCTCCAATCTGTGTTATTCCTTAAAAATGCAGAACTGCCTGAAGTCCTCTTTAATATTTAATTCAACAACTTTTTAATCTGTCATTATGCTGTGATGAAGTAAGCATCAAGTGTCGCTGAAAAAGATTAAATTATACTTGGAAATAGGAATTGAAATGATTTAGGGTTGGAGGCTGAATATTTGCTTTGCACAAGTAATAATAATAGTAGGTTGGGTGAAGAAGGGTTTTGGTTTGCCTTTAATGTCTTTGCCTTGCTGTGCTCCCCTGTGGCTCCCCCTGATTTACGCTGGCATTACTGAGCTTTATTTTATTTAAATGGAGGTAGAAAGTGGAAATTATTACACTACCATACATTAATTACTCCATACTATTTCTTTGTACTGATTTCCCTTTTTTTCTGTAAACACCATAAACAATGATGCGACCTACCCAATATGGATAGCAGCTATAAGCAGTCCTGTAGTTCTTGTTAACAAGCTTATCTCAGAAAGGAAAGGCAGTAATAATTAATATCCATCTACAGAATAGTGAGAAGCAAAGGACCTTTATGTTTTTTCCTGTCATGGAGGATGATGTCCTACATAAAAATAAAATGTTAACACACATTGTTAATATTTTATTAATTTTTTGTTTGTTTTTATCTTTTCCAATTGGTATCCTTGGAAAGTAGATTTTGTTTTTATTATGTGTTAATATTTTAACCACTGCCTTTTACTTCTTGCTTTTAACATCTAGACTTAACCTGTGGACTATTTTGTACTTAAAAAGTACAAACTTTTAGACTTCAGTGACTCTTCAATGGATCAACAGGTGACAAAGACTAACCTCTTGGGAGTATGTGGTGTCTGCATATGTTTATATCTCCTTTTGGGGGAAATCTGGTCATAGACCTGGTTGCATAAGCTTATTTTTAATTTAGTTCTATAGCTCTGTCTACAAGAGGCCAAAGCAATCAGTCAATTTAGTGGAGAAAACTAATTGAGAAATTATTTGATCGAGTATACAGAAGAGTCCCATGTGGTTGTTTGGAAGAATGCTACATATCATTTTTACTGTAATGCATGTGTATTTGTGGTGACTTTATATATACTCTGGCTCTGTCTGTAATGAATGTCTCCAAAACATATCTTCATTTGTCATGATTTGGCACAGTGATGGTTCTTTTCAAAATAAGCCTAGAAATAGGCTAAGATCTTACATGCAGTACAGCTGTTGGAATATTATGAGGCATTTTTACTCCAGGAATCCAGTGTACCTGTAACTGGGATGTCTACTTCCCTGGCCTCATGTCCTGTCACGGGACAATAGTAAAGAGAAAAGACCCCCTCCTTACTTTTTTTTGAAACAGTCTAAGTGAGAATGTAAACTTACTTCAATAAATTCATAATTAATTTCAAACAATTAAACAAAAACCTGGAAAAATGTTTTTACTCTTAGAAAGCATTTAGTACCTTTTTATTTTATTTGCTACCCTTTTACACCTGGAAAAAGTCCAGAAAGCATTTTGCAAGTGATAGATTTATTTTTTCAGAAACTAACTCTTTTTTCCCACTGGAATTAATTTTATGCCTTGCCTAAATTGAATTCCCTGAATATTTAGCTCCCCACTTTACCAGTGTATAGTCAAGGAGCAGAAAGAAGGACAATTGTGTAGGTATAATTTCACCTTTCATTTGTTATCATGAGTTATTGGAAATTAAAGTTCTGTATTTGATTGTAAATTGCCTCTTATAGTTCATAAATATATATTTAGAGGAGTAGGTTCATAGATTATTTACAATTTAGTGTTTTGATCTAGGATAACATTTGGAAATAAATAAGTTTTTTAGTAACTGATCAGTGTTTGCCTACATAATGTTATTCCTATTAAGATATGCCTTTGTCAACATGTGTCTTTTTTGCTCTAGCACAAGACTGTTGCCTTTCTGAAATCTAGTATGCTTGTAGGGTAAAGTAAATGCATGTCTTTGTAGAAAAATAAATAAAAAGAGCAACCTGAGTCAATAAGCGGGTTCAATTCATGCCTACAGCAATGGTGGACAGCTCATTTTGTAGATGTGGGTGTTTTGTTTACATTTATAATGCAGCTTTATTTAATGCTGACAGATATAGCTTGTGGCAAATGATAGTCAGAATGTATGAGCAGTCATAATGCTTCTGTCTTCTTATAGTGTGCTGCTGAAAATAAGCAGTTCACCTCTGTTTTTATTGAGGAAAGGATATGAGACAGCTATAGCTTCGTGAGGCTATTTATTGAGTTGTTTTACTAGCTGTGAACATGCCGCTTTATAGCAGTTGTGAAAATGGACTTTGCTAGTGTGTGGGAAAGGAAATAACATTGCAGTATACAAGGGTAGTAAAAAATCTCTATAAATAATTTTTCAGACTGAGGAATATTCTCATTTAAGCAGGAAGAATGGGTTGTGATTTTAGCTCCGTGTCAGTCACCCCTCTGTCCCACCTGCCCCATGTACCCACCCACCCACCCCCGCCAGTCACTAGATTGGAAATGATCACATAATTTGGAGGAAAGTTTTTATTCAATAACATTTAATTGGATTAGAATTTAGGAAAACTTGTTTACATACCCACCTAGATTTAGCACAGCATTGTGACTTTTGAGACTTGAGGATCTATATTAACCACTTAGGGTGTAAATTACAAAATGTGTAGTAGGCTGCCTTTATGTGTGATAAGACATACCTATAAGCTAATAATAGTGTATTTGTTATTTAATAACGTACTCATGATACAGAAAAGCCTATATTCAAATACTATTTATAATGAAAGAGAATTCAGATGTGTAAGCATACCATTGATGGAAAATTTTTCAAGTACTTATATTTTGACCCCAAAATTTATTATTCAGTATAATTAAGGGAAAGTGACAAACTAACCACAGAATTTGAATTTATATTACTCCTTTCATCCCTTAGAAATTATAGGCACTCACTACACCTGGGCCTTTTAACTCTGCAACAAATTATTTTGGTTTTTACACTAGCTTCTTTCTGCTACTAAATCTGCCCAGGTCTACTAAGGCTTTTTGATGTACAGTTATTTATTGCCTACCGTAATTGTGATGGGTATAATGCCTTTTATTCTTAAACACAAAAAAGAGCATTAGAAAGGCGCATATTTAAAATTGTTATTTTATATTTTCAAAGTGTTCATCAAACAGTAGTGAGAAGGTACACAAATAATATTTTCATGAATGCAAAATAATTTAGAAAGCAGTGTGAATCTCAGCAGGTGTTTCTTCCGGGTTTGTGCTCAAATTTCTTGGGAGCACTGAATATTAAATTGAAATAACCCTCCCTTGATATTATGCGGCTCAAGTTCAGTTTAATTCCAGATAAGGTTTTCTTGGGCACATCATTTTCCTTTCATGTAAATAAAAATCAGACTACTTAGATTTGAATATTCTCTACTTTATAGAGTAAATCAAAATCCTGAAAGTACTCACTTCGTTTTCTTAGTGCTTTTATTAAGACATTTCTGTTACCACTAAATATATGGATTATAGGGATGCTGTAAAAATGTTCTTATTTCCTTCTCCACTGGCTGATGAAATGGGTTAATCTCTCAATAGAGTTGTTTCCTTAATTCACCACCTGTTTTCAAATCCCTAGTAACCAACAAGGTAAGCGAAGAGATTCCTCTGTGTGTGCCTTATGTACCTGTTTCACACAGAGAAACCCAGAATTAAAAATGAGGACAAAACTCTTTCTTGAATTATTTTTAGGAAAGTTGTTCATATTACTAAAAAGCTACCATATTTAAATCATCAGTCAGTTGTCCAGTTATGTCACCTAATGACCATCCTTTCAATGAAAGTTTTCAGCTCCAAAGGGTATACCTGTATGTAAAGTGTAATTATTACCATTCTTTTCAGCATATTGTGAGAATGTGATAAACATATAACTAATGCAAATTTTATATTTTTGATTTAGAAACAAAGGAACTTATTTTATCTTTGTAAAAAAAAAATGTGGGCTTGGCTATTATAGTTAGAATGTCTCAACTGTATATAAGTAATCATTTATTGTTTAAATACAGAAGAGGCTGTAACAAAATGCTGTCAAGAGCTATCACACTCATTAACCTGTAAGCTAATTAGCCTCCTCCTGCCTGATTGCTGACAAGTTCTTCAGTCTGAACCCATTGCTGTTGTGTCAGCAGAGAAGCACAGAGTGAGGTAGAGGAGGTCTCCATTAGATGTTTGTGAACAAAGTCTCTGCATTAAAGGTTTGTTTTTTACACTCTAACAAATGTTAGAGCATACATATTCCCAGCTATAATTAAATTGGCAACTCTTAATTACTGTAATTAGTATATTAACTGTTTCCTTTCCTGTTCGGCTATAATGGACTTTTAGAAATTACATGTAATTTAATGTGATTTTAAAAATTTAATCATTGTTTAAAAGGTTTCAGTAGTTAAATGTATATCTAATGCTATTGAATATTTGAAATAATATGCATAATAAAATCACTTAACTGCACTGTCTTGTCAAAACCAGTACATATGGGTTTTATATTTATATGTCCTTTTTTCCCCCTGCACAAACATGACATTCATTACCCATTAAAATTTTTTTTCCTGGTAGGCTAACATTTTTTAACTAGGTTGCAAATTAGCATTGGAATGATGGAACATTTTGCAAATGCATCTTAAAATATGAATTCATTAATTTGTGGAAGACTAATTCACTTAGAATAGCTTCTTGAGGGCAGAAAACATTCATAAGATATTTTGCTTGTTATACCATCCAATCAAACTCAAGACTTTATGGAGAATAACAACAACAACAACAAAAATAGAGTACATTTTGGTATGGTAAGTGGTCTAAGTATGAATTGATGAAGCCTTTTCTCAATTTTCAAAATTATTATTTTTGCTTTCTGGTAGATGTCACTTACAATTTTGGCGTAAAATATCTGATTATCTTCAACAAATTAGAGGCCTACACCTTTCTAAAATGTTATATATACTAGCAAGATATCTAAAAAAGCACATACTGACATTTATTATACTTCTAGTTTATGTAGGAAGAACTATTTGAGGGTATCTGATTTAAAAGTACTAGATTAAAGTAAGAAACAGCATCAACATTTATGGGAGCTTTCCATATAGGTATATGTTTATACTGGTCATGGGCAAAAATATCATTTGCATAGAATCCTGTACGGATCTTAAACTATGTGAATATATATTTACCACTAGTTGGCTTTAACTAAGCTTCAATTAAGGAATGGGTGTTTTAAGTAAAATTTAAAATATACTTACATTATTTAGTCAGTTTTATAATTAAGATACTAATATGACATATCAATTATCATTCATTTACAGACGGCAGTCATTTTATGAGGAACTACCCAATGCACTCTAAAATACATCATTTTTAATGGATGTGGCCTTTTAACTACTGTTGCCTACCTACCCGTAAGAACTGTAACCTGAGCCTCAAGTCACCTGTGTGATGGAATAGATAATGTGGTTCCTTCTTGTACTATAGTTTTGTGGACATGTGGACTCTTGGCTAAAGAAGACAGATTTGAGGTCCTGGAACAGAGTTTTTGCATTATGAGAATAAAATTTTTATCATTTGAAATCTACTGATCTCACTAATAAGGACATCTTCCCACCACTCATTCTCTATCACTAACCCCTACTTTTTGAGCATGACCTGACTCTGAGAGAAGAGCAAAATTTTTATAATCGTCTTTAGACATAACTTAAGTTTCAGAGAATTTAGTGTAATAATAAATCAAATTTGATTTACAAAGTAAATAATATGAGTTTAAGGGCCTTTTGAATTTTAGTGTCCATTTTAGAATTATTGGGCCACTTATAGTTTATAATCATAATATCATAGAGTTGTAACTAAAATCTGAACTTGTTAAAGGAAGGGGATGTATGGAAAATCTAGCACAGCCCTCTCATTTTGCAGATAGGGAAATGAGACTCTGGGAGGCAACTTGCCCATGGCCATACAACCAAATAGTACAGCAGAAACGATATGACAGACAACTCAGATCCTAGGACTTAGTCTACTGCTCTGAGTTTCATAAATTCAAGTTGTAGTGGGTTGACTTAGTATTTTCTTTTGAGTGTCTCTATTATAGTTATTTTATGTTGAATGTTAATGTTGCTTAAAGCATATGAGATAAGAACAATATTTTTAATAAGTACAATTTATTGTTTAGAGTAGGTGCTCAAATTTATGTAAAACATTGTCTTTTTAAAGAAAATACAAAACTAAAATAGAAATGGCTTACTTAATAAAACATCCCAGTTTGAAAATAAAGTCTATTTTCCTCCAGTAAATTATTTAATAAAATAAGCTTCTATGGTGTTGAAGTAATTGAGAATTGAGGGCACTGTCTTCTGTAAAACTGTGGTGTATTGGTTAGGCAACTCTGTATATGTTACTGTTGAAGAGTAAAGCCCTAGAAAATATTTCCTTAATATTAGCTTTCATTTATAAACCAGAATAATTCTGAATGTTTATAGTAAACACTTGGAGATAACCCAAGGCAAATTTAATTTTAGATTGGGCTTTTGCTTAATGTATTATTCATAGTATTGTATCATCACTTAAGCATATCCCTGACAATAAACTTAAAACTTAACTTTAATAGTAATATCCACCCTAATTTGGTTGAGTCAAATAGTGACCTGACATGATTTATTTTTCCTCCTTGTTGTAGATAATATTTTAATAATGGTGGGATGGAGTTATTTGGTACGTTTTTCTCATCCCTCTTTCCCACCACCCCTTCCCCCCTATTTTAACACTTCACCATTTTTGCTGCATGACCTGGTTTTGCATATTTCTGATTCTCTGTTCATCTAATTAGTATGTTCTAAAAAGACCTGGACCACTTATTGTACAGAGATGTAGCCTGTGGCTATTTAATAAGGAGCTTTCAGTGCTACATTTGCATCTTTTGCTTGGGGTCTGAATAGTGAATTACCTTTAAGATCATTAGAAGTACTGCTGTATTGTTAAAATCAGGCCACAATATTCTAATTGACAATTTAAAACTTGAGGCTTCCTATATAACCCAAGTGACCCCAGCATAATTGTATGTAGTGCAGAAGACCCCAGGACAAACTGCTGATGTTTCAGCCCATCCCACAGTGTAGCTTCTATAGATAGGTAGCTTTACACTCCAATAAGTAGTATAGAGATGTACTGAAATACTTATGTATATTCAAGTGTGTATATTACTTATATCGTAATTATAGAATTTAGCATCTTTTTGTAGTAAATGTTTTAACTAGTTTTCTGATCTCAAATTGATGTGATATTTATCTGCTACCACCAGTAACGACAGGGATTTTAAAGGTAGCCAATAACAAAAATAACAAATATTGAGAAAGATACAGTGGTAAGTTTCATGTTTTTAAATAAATGCTTTTACTTGAAGGCATTTATAGATTCACCAGCTGGCATTTACTCTGTATCTGATCTTCTTGACTATATATGAAAAACTAAATGGATATTTTTTGTACAACTAATTTTAGTAGATAACATATGTTAGTTGATTTAAAATTTAGCAGTTATCCCTTAAAATTGCATTTCTGAAATAGCTGTTTCTTAGTAGAGTCTGAAGTTACTTAGTTGTGATCAATAATTTGTGCTGAACCAGCTACATGTAAATTTTAGAACAGTGCTGTGCATATAATGGGTACTTAGTAGAGGTTTGTTGAATGAAAGTATAAATGAATGAAAGATCAACCAGAAAGAACATAAAGTAAAGGAAAAGAATATGTGCTTAGCACATCGTGGGCCCCCTGTAGTTAACTGAGCCAACTACCCATTTATGTTTTTCCAGAGGGTCTCACTTTCAATAACAGTTTCAAAAGTATTTTAAAAATAATAACCAGGCAGTAATTAACTTGAGTTCACTTGGTAGGCTATCTATAATGTGTTTATTTTGCTTATCTCATCCTTTTGTGCTCTTTCTTGTTATAAGTTTACTACTCAGATTTCTTTTAATTGTGTCACATTACTTGTTAGAGAAACCCAAATTTTCTGTTTCTTGAAGAAGTAGCTTATTTATTATATCTTTTAGATCTATTGTTTTAGATTTATTGTAGAGAAGGAAACAACTTCGTATTAAAAAATATATGAAGGGGGATTAATGGCAAGGCAAATATTTATGCAAAGATGTTTACTTCAAAGTAAAATCAGAGTAAATGTTTAGTTAAAATTGTATCTAGCTTGCATTCATATTCAGAAACACTATAAAAGGTTTAACATATTTATGATCTGCAGCACATTGACCAGTGATACGCTATTAAGTAGTTTTGCAGGATTTTCACTTCTAAGAATTTGTTGTACTTGCATTATTGCTTCCTTTGGGATTCCAGACAATGACTCTGTAGTCTGATTCATTAATATTGGTTGTCTTCAGCAGAGAGTATCCAGATTTGACCTGCCAAGTATTAAATTTTTAATGTATTACTAGTTCCTTTACGGAGGAAGGCTTGTCTTTGTTCTTTGTATTTTTGTACCAGTACAGCTTGAATCAGATACAGATTTAATTTGTAGTATCACTAAATATGCCTCATTTTAAAAATGCACACACTACACACCTCACATGCACAACTATAAGAATGTTTATTGGTGAAAATAGTTCAGTATAAATGGCTACCTTTTAAAATATTTGGTAGTATGCATTTCCAAATTAATTTTGAAAAGTGCCGGGGGTGCTATGTGCAATGAACAATAAATTAATTTTATGCTATTAACAATGATGATGTTGAATGTATATTAGTTAATGTGTTAATGACGTGTTAATTACTGTACATGTTGTGAAGACCCTTCAGGCTTGTTCTGTGATGCAACA